GCTCGCACCTTGTTTTTTTATCAGGGAAAGTCTTGAGGGTCAAACTGTGTCGTTGGCCCCCTGGTCACAACAACAACGGCTCCCGCCTGAGACTTCCTCACAATTTGGCCAGGACCCCCGCTCCCGCCCGAGACCTCCTTGCATTTTATTCAGGAATCGCGCTCTCGCTTGGGACTTACTTACAATTTATTCAGGAATCGCTCTCCCGGCTCTCTGGAGTCGCGCTCTCGCTGGAGACTTGGTTGCAATTTACTGAAGAATAGCGTCCTTGCGTTGGAAATTCTTGCAATTTACTCAAGCGCCGCGCTCCCGACACCCAGGCACCCAGGAGTCGCGCTCACGTTTAAGACCCCTGCACAGATTACCTAAGAATCGGGATCTCGCTGCCCTTCGTGGCCCCGTTGCAGCCCTTCGTGGCCCCCTCGCTTTGTTTCGTGGCCCCGTTGCAGCACTTCGTGGCTCCCTCGCTGCCCTTCGCGGCCCCGTGGCAGCCCCTCGTAGCTTCCTCGTTGCCCGCCCTTCGTGGCCCCGTTGCAGCCCTTCGTGGCCCCCTCGCTTTGTTTCGTGGCCCCGTTGTAGCCCTTCGTGGCCCCCTCGCTGCCCTTCGTGGCCCCGTCGCAGCCCTTCGTGGCCCCATTGCAGCCCTTCGCGGCCCCCTCGCTGCCCTTCGTGACCCCCTCGCTGCTTTTCGTGGCCCCATATATGTATGCCCATCGTGGCCCCCGCTCGTTCGCGCCCGTGGTGGCCCCATATGCATGTCCTTCGCGGCCCCGCTGTCGCCCCTCGTGGCCCCCTCGCTGCCCTTCGTGGCCCCGTTGCTGCCCTCAGTGGCCCCGTCCTTGCCCTCCGCGGCCCAGTATACGTATGCCCTTCGTGGCCCCCGTTCGTTCGCGCCCGTTGTGGTCCCATGTGCATGCCCTTCGTGGCCCCGCTGTCGCCGTTTGTGACCCCCTCACGTGGCCGAGTTGCTACCTTCAGTGGCCCCGTCGTTGCCTTCTGATGCCCCGCATGATCTGCCCTTCGTGGCCCCCGATCATTCGCGCCCGTCGCGGCCTCATGAGCATGCCCTTCGTGGCCCCGTTGTCGTCCTTCGTGGCCCCCTTCCTGTCCTTCGTGGCCCCGCTGTCGCCCTTCGTTGCCTCCTCGCTGCCCTTCGTGGCTCCGTTGCTGCCCTCGGTGGCCCCGTCCTTGCCCTCCGCGGCCCAGTATACGTATGCCCTTCGTGGCCCCCGCTCGTTCGCGCTCTTTGTGGCCCCATACGCATTCCCTTCGTGTCCCCGCTGTCGCCCTTTGTGGCCTACTTCTTGTCCTTGTGGCCCTGCTGTCGTTCTCTCTCGCTCTCGCTTTCGCTCGTCGTCGTCGTCGTCGTCGTCGCCGTCGTCGACGTCGTCGTCGTCGTCGTCGTCGTCGTGGTCGGTCCCCTGTCCGTCCCTCTTGGGGTCGGGTCGACGGTCCGCGGCCGCCCCGCCGATCAGCGTTGCCGCTGGCCAGGCCGACGGTCCGCGGCCGCCCCGCCGCTTGCCGGGGCCCGGCCTGCAGGGAAGAAAGGTATACCCCCCCAAAAGGGGTTCGATCGAAGACGAAGAGGGTGGGTATCGAGGGTTTGGGAAATACACGTTATTGGACACTCCAGCAGATAAGGGCGAACAGTCTTACAATGATTGTTGTTGTTGTTGTTGTTGTTGTTGTTGTTGTTGTTGTTGTTGTTCTTGTTGTTCTTGTTGTTTTCAAAATTGGCGGTTCCCCTCACCATTTTCCCCGTTTTGGGATTCTCGTTTGCGCCCGTTTCGATTCGGTTCCGTTTTGTATTGCGTTTTGTTTCTTTTCTTTTGTTTTTTCTACTTTGGATTGTTTTGTTTCCCTTGGCTGGGTGGCCGGAAACTGAAAGCTTGTACACGGTAGAAAGCATCCCCACCATTTTGACATCAGCTAAGGCCTCACGCGAGGTCGAGGGCTTTCGGAGGCCTCCGGATGCCTTCGAAGACCCTTTGCTCGAAGATCAAGAGAGCTATGGGCATGACCTCGCGGAGGTCCGCGCGGATTTCTTGGACTGGCGGCGGACCCCCCTGGCGGCTCCTCCGGCGCCGCCCCTTGCGCGCTACGCGCGTCAGGCAGGGGGTTCAGCGCCAGTCTTAAGTCGGGCCTGTCCCTCTACAGGAGGAAGATACAAAAAATAGTCTGGGGACGATTTTTTGATTATTTTTGAATATTTCTAAATATTTTTCGACCCATCGCCAGTCCCAGCAACCTTCGCGGGCCTCCGAGGATTTCTGTCTACGGATGCCGCTTTTGTTCCTCGACCTGCGGGCCATCGATCCAGGCCTCCCAGATGGGGTCCGAGCATTCGGGGTCGGAGGGTCACGCCGCATCACCGGTTCATCGGCAGTGTGGTTCGATGTGGAGCCCGATTTTCTCACGCCGACGTCGCCGATGCATCGGCGACGTCGCCAGTGCATTGCTAATGCATCGGCGATTCATCGGCGATGCGGCGCGATCCTCCGACCCCATCTACTCCGACCGCATCTGGAAGGCCTCTAATCATCCCTCGTGGGGTCTCCCGTCGTACCACCAGTATCGCGCAGTATAATGATGAGGAGGAGCATGTTCATGTTGGTGGTTGTTTTGATGATGATGGTGGTGTGGTGGTCGTGATTAAGGCAATGATGATGACGACGACGACGACGATGATGATGATGATGATGATGGCGGTGGTGGTGATGAGGATTATCATGAAGATGACAATGGTGGTGACTTTGATTGTAATGATGATTATGATGACGTTGATGACAATGATGATGATGATGATGATGATGATGATGATGATGATGATGATAATTATTACTATCAGGAGCAGGAGGTGCAGGAGGAGGAGGAGAAGGAGGATAAGCAGGGGGAGGATGAGGGTGATTAGGATGCGGATACTGCGAATGTTGATGATTGTGATGATGACGATGACGAGGACGAGAACGATGACCATGATGATGATGATGATGATGATGATGATGATGATGATGATGATGATGATGATGATGATCGTCATCATCATCATCATGATGATCATGATCATGATGATGATGATGCTGATGATGATGATGACGACTTTGATGATGATGAGGAGGAGGAGCAGAAGGAGAAGGAGTTTGACGGTAAGGAGTGTAAAGGGGCAGTGCAGGAGGAGAAGGAACAAGTGATAAATGGTGCGATGGGGATGGTGATGGTGACAGTCATGTAGATGATGATGCTCATGCTGACGACGTTTATTGTGATGGTGATGCTGGTGGTGGTGGTGGTGATAAGAATGATGACGATGATGCTGCTGACGATGATGCTGATGCAGATGATGATGCTGATGACGTCGTTGTTGTTGGACGATCATGATGATGCTGATGATAATGATGCTGCTGCTAATGATGGTAATGACGATGATGCTGATGCTGATGTTGATGATGATGATGATGAGATTAGGATGCTGATGACGATGTTGTTGTTGTTGGTGGTTGTGGTGGTAACGAGGAGGTTGATACACATATGGTTATGATGGGGATGAGGATAAGGATCATGCGGAGGATTATGATGATGATTCTGAGGATGCTGAGGATGATGCGGATTAAGAGCAGGATAATGATACGGATGATGATGATGACGATGATGATGAGGATGAGGATGACGACGACGAGGATGATGATGATGATGGTGATGATGAAGATGATGATGATGATTATGATGATGATGATGATGATGATGATGATGATGATGATGATGATGATGATGATGCCAACGATGACCATGATTATGGTGATGATGATGTTGCTGATGATGGTAATGATGCTGATGTTGCTGATGATGCTGATGCTGAGGCTGACGCTACTGTTGTTGATGATGATGATGATGATTCTGACGATGCTGCTGCTGATGCTGTTGATGCTGTTGCTGATGATGCTGATTATGATGATGATATTGTTGTTACTGGTGGTGGTGATTAGTATGTTGGTAAACCAATGATTTTGTTGATGGGAGTAAGGACTATGATGAAGATGATGAGGCTGCTGATTCTGAAGAGGATGGCGATGATGATGAGGATGACGAGGAGGATGGTGATACGGATGATGGTGATGAAGGTGATGCTGATGATGATGAACCTGATGATGATGATGAATTCGATGATAATGATGATGATGATGATGATGATGATGATGATGATGATGATGATGATCGGATGCTGAGGATGATAAGTCTGATGATGATGGTGGCAATGGTGATGGTGATGATGATGTTGGTGATGATGATGATGATTATTATACTGATATTGATGCTGATGATGATCATGATGATGGTTGTGCTGGTGACGAGGATGATGCCGATGATGATGCTGATGATGTAATTGATGATGATGATGGTGGTGATGATGATAACGACGATGATGAGGATGATGATGATGCTGCTGATGATGCTGATGCTGATGCTGATGCTGATGCTGATGATGATGCTGATGATGCTGATGATGATGCTGCTGATGATGCTGTCATCGTCATGATGATGGTGACGATTAGGAGCAGGATGAGAGGGAGGAGGAGCGGGAGGAAGAACGAGAGGGTAAGGAACATGAATGGGCAGAGAATGAAGAAATGACATAGGTTGTAGTATGCAGTGACGAGGATGGTGATCGTGGTGGTGAGGTCGATGGTGAAACTGATCATGTTGTTTCTTGTTGCTAACAATCATGGTGGGTATTCTGATGGCGATGATGGTGGGTGATGGTGATAATGATGATGGTGATGCTGATGGTGGTTGTGCTGGCGGTGGTGATGAACATGGTGATGATGATGATGGTGATGAGTACGATGATTGAGAGGACGATCATGGTGATTCTGATGACAAGGATGACGATAGGACGCAGGGGCGGACCAGGTGGAGGAGGGGCAGGGGCAGGAGGATGGGGAGAACGGTCTGTGGAGTGCAGACATTCACTTCCAGCAAGCGAAGTTGTGCATCTCCCGAAGGCGACATGCAGAACCCCTGGTCTGCCTCGATGCTGACATGCGTCTTCATGTACGCGCGGCGCTCAGCAGGGCAAGTGTTGAAGCTTCGCGAATCCCCACCAGTCCATGCAGAAACTCCTGTCAGGCGAGTTGCCCTGACGAAGGAAGTGTAAGAACTTCAGCGAAACGTGTCCATGCGTATTTAAACTAGTCACATGTACACACATCGGAGCTTGGGGGTGTGATCGAAGTGGAAGGACCCCCCAACGGGAAATCGGTCACTGTGTCGTGTTCGTGCCGTCCGTGCGAGCGAAGCGAAGTTGCGTGCGCAGGCGGGGGGAGTGATCCTACCGCTGCTAGGGCGAATTCAGTTCACAAGTCCCTCAAGCGGATTGGGCCGGCGGTTGTCCCGCGGTTGCCCCGTACTTGTTCTGTGGTTGTCCCGCGGTTGTCCTGATTTCTGTCCTGGTGGTTATCCCGATGATTGTTCCGATGGTTGTCCTGATGATTGTCCCGATGGTTGTCCCGAGGATTGCCCCGATGGTGTTGTTCCCCATTGTTGTCCCGATGGTTGTCCCGATGGTTGTGCCGATGGTTGTCCCGATGGTTGTCCCGATGGTTGTCCCGATAGTTGTCCCAGTCGTTATCAAGGCGGTTGTACCGATGGTTGTCCCGATTGTTGTCCCTATGGTTGTCCTGATGGTAGTTCGATTGAGAGTGATGTCGATAGATCGATTGATTGACACATATATTGTTAGTGGGATCGACCAGCAGATATTGAGTAAGATCGAACGGTCGTGAGGCTGATGTATAAGTTGTTAACCGGGAAAATGCATGCATATAGTATTGTTCATGTATAGATGATTATGACAGGTGTTCGTATACATATATATATGCATACACTATTGACATACACTTTCAGTTGTGCGTGTGCATGTGCGTGCGATTGTCTGTCTGTCTGCATGCATGCATGTAGGTAGGTAGGTCGATAGGTAGGTAGGCATGTATGTATGTAAGCATGCATATATGTATGAATGTAGGTATGTACAATTGGATGCTTGCATATATGCATGTATGTATTCATGCATGCATGTATGTTTGTAGGCATGCATGTATGTATGTATGTACGTATGTATGCATGCATGCATGGATGTATGTGTGCATGTATGTATGTATGTATGCATGCATGCATGCATGCATGCATGCATGGATGTATATATGTATGTATGTATGTATGTATGTATGTATGTATGTATATATGTATGTATGTATGTATGTATGTATGTATGTATGTATGTATGTGTGTGTGCATGTAAGTATGTATGGTTGAATGCATATTTGTATGCATACATGCATGTGTGTATACATGCATTCATTCATATGTGATTGTGTACATGCATTCATGTATGTATGGATGTTCGTGCTGTTGTATGGATGTAGGTATGGATGGATGGATGGATGGATGGATGGATGGATGTATGGGTGTATGTGTGTATGTATACATGCATGCATGTATGGATTCATATGAGCACGCATGTGTGTATGTATGTATGTCTGCATGCATGCATGTAACTATGTATGGATGTATGTATGTATGTATACATGCATGTATGCATGCATGCATGCATGCATGCATGTATGCATATATGCATGTATGCATGCATACATGTATGCATGCATGCATGCACGCACGCACGCATGTATGTATGTATATATGTATGTATGTATGTATGTATGTATGTATGTATGTATGTATGTATGTATGTATGTATGTATGTATGTATGTATGTATATATGAATATATGTATATATGTATACATTCGCTTTTGCTTTCGCTTTCGTGCCAGGTGAGACAAGCCCTGTTCGCAGAGTTAGTTGTCTCGACCGTCCACTCAGTTGATCAGAGGGCCCAACACCCCTGGTGCCGCACTGTTGGTTTTCAGACTGATGGTTGAGACATAGGCTTTTCTCATCTCAGCCTGCCCATGCCGCCCAGCGACCATCCACCCTCCCATCGTTTAGAAGGCCACCGTGGAGTCTTCTGGTACCAGCTTTGCGGAGGCTCGGGTGTTCCGTCCAGAGGTGAGCTCCTGGACTCAGGACGTGCCTGTGCACCTGGCCTTACAGATCATGGGAGACGGGTGGGGAGGGCGTTGGTGACAGGCAAGCTTCCTCCAAATCTTCAAGGCTTGGCCTGATTGATCAGAAGATTGGGTCCACCTGTCGCGGCCTCAGGTTCCAGATGGCGCCCCTGATTCCTGAGGTGACAAACGTGGATGGATTGACCCAGTTTCCCGTTTTTTTCTTTCGTGGGGTACCTCAGTGGACCAGTCCCCCAAGCCCAAGACAGACGAGAGGCAGGATGCAGCAGGCAGGAGGCAGGAAGAGGAGGAGAAGGAGGAGGAGGAGGACAATTGTAAGCCCAAGACTCATCAACAATGTTGAAATAAACCCTCCCTCCAAGCTCCCTCCTCATAGGGTCCTACAAGGGTTCTTGTCCACTGAGGAAACTTCCTCGTTGTGAGACAACAGTTTGAAGACCTTGAATCGTGCCCAAACGCCATTCTCGGGATTCCAACGCCACGGATCAACCTGACTCTTGCATCTTGACGATTTTGAATCGTGCCAGAGCACCGTTCTTTTGACTTCAACACCACGAATCCACGTAACTGATGCACCGTCACACTCCTGAGTCCTTCCAGAACACCGTTTCTGCTACGCTGACCATGGGAATCCGTGGAACGCCTGCAAGTTTTAAGGACGAGCTGAAAACGAACCGCCCTCAATGCGTGAAGCTCTTGCGAATTTGTTGAACGAGTGTACGGGGCGCGAAGGCGAGAACCACATTTTTAAAACCACCCGTCCTCAATCCGTGAAGCTCTTGCAACTTTTTGCAACGAAGGCTCGCTGCGCTGAAGCGAGAGCCACATTTTGGAAATCGCCCGCCCTCCGTCTGTGAAAATGTTGCCAACTTGTAAGCTTCAGGGCCATAATTGGCGAGGATGTCTCAGGCGAAACGCCAGACCCGCCCTTTCGACCGGCCTCGAGGTGAGATAGGGAGGAGTTGTTTATAAGGAAAAGCAGCGGAGGCGGAGGAGGAGGAGGACGAGGAGGAGGAAGAGGAGGAGGAGTAAGAGGAGGAGGAGGAGGAGGAGGAGGAGGAGGAGGAGGAGGGGAGGAGGAGGAGGAGGACGAGAGGAGGGGGGGAGAACAGAAGATGTGAGGAGGAGGATGAGGAGGAGGAGGATGAGGAGGTGGAGCGGGAATGAAAGAGGTGGGAGGAGAGGGAGGGGTGAGGGGCTCTCAAACGCTGTCCGGTGTTCGATCGTACGTGCGGCTGAGGCCTTCTGCTTTGCTTTCACGTGGTGGCGCCTGCCGGAAACGGCCTTCCTCGCCTCCAAGCGCGGCTCGTCAAAGAGGATCCTTCCATGAGGAGGGGGAAGGAGGAGGGAGGAGCTCCTCCTCCTCTTTCTCCTTGAGGCCTCCCAGATAGGGTCGGAGTAGATGCGGTCGGAGGATCGCGCCGCATCGGCGATGCAGCGCCGATGCAGTTCGATGTGGGGCCCGATTTTGTTCACGCCGACGTCGCCGGCGCGATCCTTCGACCCCATTTACTCTATTCCCTCTATTCTCCCTCGTCGTCCTGATTCCCTCCTCGTCCTCCTATTCCTCCTCTATTCTCCCTCCTCGTCCTTTTCCTCTCCCTCGTGGGGCGCAGGGGTGAGGACGATGGGATCGGCTCGGCAGGCTGGCGCGTGTAGAACCCCAGCACTACCTGGGGCCCTCCCCGCGGGAGTCGCAAGAGCGCAGGCAACTCTCGAGGATATGACACGGCACCAGTGCTGGCAGAGTGTGTATTGCCGCCCTGCCTGGCGGCCACCAAGCCGCCGCTGCCCCCGCGATGCGCCCCTGCAGGGGGTCTCGCCGAGATGTCCGCACTACTCGCTCCTCCTTCCCCCCCCGCCTCCACGCAGCTGTCCCAGGTGCTGCCGCCGCGGCGGCCACCGCGCGGCGTCGCAGCAAGTGGCGCGGTGGGGCGATGTACCTTCCTCTCATGAGATGTGACCGCCTCCTCCTCCTCCTCCTCCTTTTCCTTCTCCTCCTCCTCCTCCTCCTCCTCCTCCTCCTCCTCCTCCTCCTCCTCCTCCTCCTCTCTCTGAAGGAGAGCTTGAGCATAACGTCGAAGTCTCCTGTAGCCGGAGACGGGGATGGATGCACTCACCCCCGTCCCCGCCCCGTGTACCGTCGCCTCCTGCGTCCACCGATGTGATACATATATATATATATGTATACATATATGTATATATACATATATGTTTAAACTAGATAAGTATGTATGCCGCATGCCTGCCTGGCCTGAATGGCCATTTAAGTTCGGGCACTGGCAGCAGGATGGTTTGATCGATAAGGAGATCGACCGGGAACCTGGGAACCTGGAACCCACCGAAATCGGCCCAGAACCAATAACCAGGAACCCCGAACCTGGAACCCGGGAACCCAGCCGGCCTCCAAAGTCGGCGGGACATTTTCGCCAAATCTTTCAATTTCTGCTAGGACCCTTTCAGTGCAAGCACTGATTTGGGAAATATTCTGAGGGATACCAGGCGGCACTCTACTGATATGTGTCAAGCATAAGGCTGACTTGGATCCGCGTGCCAGAAGAGGCCCTTCCTTGAAGGGGATTGCGCTCGTCTTGAATCAATGACTGGATGGGGGCAGGGCGGGGGCTTCCCACAGACAGATCATGAGGAGAGGCCCCCGAATGGAGCTTCAGGCTCGGGCAATCGAAGATTCGTCCTGCTGGGGCCAACGTGGCATGGCTAGGCATCTTGCTCTGCCAGAAGGTCGTGACGTATTCTCACTGGTGCGGAGGAAGTCCCTCCAGGGCCGCTGCAATTGTGATTCCCCAATCAGTGCTTGCACTGGAGGGGTCCCAGCGGAAATTGAAAGATTTGGCGAAAGTGTCCCGCCGATTTTGGTGGCCGGCTGGGTTCCTCTGTTCCCGGTTCCAGGTTCCCGGGTTCTTGGTTATCGGTTCGGGGCCGATTTCGGTGGGTTCCAGGTTACCGGGTTCCTGGTCGATCTCCTTATCGATCAAACCATCCATTGATTGGGGGTTTTCTTTGGTGTGATAGGTGTCAATTCTCTCACCTGCCGGGACCCCATCCGCAGCACGTCTGCCCTGGTGGCGCAACAAAGCCGGCACGGGCGCGCGAGCCGGGGCGGCGATATACCTCAGCGGCAGCAAAAACGTGCATCTTCAAGGCTGGGGTTGAGTCTGACGTGTCCCACTACAGGAGGAATATTCAAAAATAATAAGAAAATGGTCGGGGGACGATTTTTCGAGTATTTT